CTAACCAGATCCCCAGGTGTGCAGAGGCCCAGGCTCTGCCGGGGACACACTTTATGTCACCTTTCTGCTTGCTTCTTGCCTTCTCATCTGGATTCAAGGCTAATGAGTAAAAATGATATTAATAACATCTCCAAAAAGAAATGCTTGGGTGGTAGGTCTTGGAGCGCACAGGAATCACTTGAAGTCCCATGTTCTCAGGGATGTGAACTTCTCTGTTTGGGGAGTAGACCACTGATGCAAGATCTTCCTGTTGGCATAAATGAATCTCTAAGCCATGTAAGCAAAACTTTTCTGGCATTCTCCATTACTTTGTCATTAATTTCTTTCAGAGTACAAGAAAGTAAGAGTGCATGTCTTACTCCACATGAGAAAAGCCACGTCAAATCCTATGACCTTAAAGTTTTGATAAAGTATCTGAACTCTCTCAAGATCCTTGCCCTGATTTAGCATGTGGAAGTTCACATTGTTTTTGTTGAACTAAGAAGGTGACAAAAGTGAAGAAGTCTTAACTCATAACACATCATTAACAGCAAAGAATCCATACTGGAAACTCCACAAGTCAACAGAAAGAAACCTTCAGCACTGGCTTGCCCCTGGCTGAACAGAAAGGACCTCACAGGGGAAGGAGGCCAGGAGACCCTCCCTTTGTTAGCACAAGGCAGGCACTCTAAACCTCCAATTGCAGCTAAGCCTGCGGACTTAAAGCAACAGGGAGCTCCTACTAGAGAAAACTCTGTCTCTTTAGAAGTGACTGCAGAAAAGGTTTCATGCCCAGACCCTATGTTTCTAGCAACAAAACCCCTCAGAAAATAATCAGCTCTCCTCACAAAAAAACCACTGAATGGGAGAAGCTGGCTCTGACTGAATCCCACCAAAGGCAATGTTTCTCAAAGGCAGCAGCAAATAAGGAGATGGATGGGGAGACATCTGCTGAAGAGCTATGAAAAGGCAAACACAGCATCAAGTACGTATGTGCACTGTCATTATTTTTCTTTTTCTTCTTTTAGAAGCTTATGTAAAGGTAGCTCATTGGCTAAAATCTTCACCTTGCATGCGCCAGCATCCTATATGGGCGCCAGTTCTAACCCCAGCAGCCCTACTTTCCATCTAGCTCCCTGCTTGTGGTCTGGGAAAGCAGTCAAGGATGGCCCAAAGCTTTGGGATCCTGCACCCACATGGGAGACCCAGAGGAGGCTCCTGGCTTTGGATCGGCACAGCTCTGGCTGTTGCGGCCACTTCAGGAGTTAATGAACAGACGGAAGATCTCCCTGTCAATTCTCCTTTCTGTATATCTGACTTTGCAATAATAACAAATAAATCTTAAAAAAAAAAAAAACCCCACAGTTCTGTTAGATTGGGGTTCCCATCTGCTTGTTCACTCCCAAAATATCCTAAACGGCCAGGGGTAGGATGCCAAATCTGGAAGCTGGGAATTCAATCCAGGACTCCCACCTGGGTGGCAGTCTGCTTGCTTGAGTTATCGCTACTGCTTCCCAGCGTCTGCTATTAGCTGCTAGAATCAGCAACCACAGCACATAAATTTTTTTTAAGATTTATTTTTTCCTTTTTATTTCAAAGGCAATTTAACAGAAAGGAGGAGGAGAGACAGAGTGGGGAGCACGGTGCTAACGCTGCTCCTGGGATTGGGAAGGGCTGTTGCAAGATGGCAGCTGGCCCAGGGCCAGGAGGCGGAGTTGGTCTTGCCAGCAGGTAAGCAGCAAGTCACAGGGATAGGCCGATGTCCTCGCTGCGATTATGTCATTGCTACTGGCCTATCACGTAGCGCCAAGTGGACCCACGGGGAGAAGTGATTGGTGGAGAATGATATCAAAGTAGCCGGTAAAAGCTAGGACAGGGCCAACAGAGAAAGATGGGGCGAGGAGGAGAAGGAGAAAGGACAGGATGAGAAGGGTGGCAGAGAAAAGGCTGGAAAAGTGGTAGAGAAGTAGTAAGACCTAAATCCGGGGACAAGAACGGAGAAGGGGGTGGCGGAGAGAGGGCTGGAGAAGCAAGGAGGAAAGCTAAGACCAATGGGGAAAAAGGCAGCAGAGAGAAGGGTTTAAATGCAGCCGCTTTTGGCAACAGGGGGTCTGGTTGCGGTTCCGGCTTTCCCCACACCCTCAAGAGTGTGCCTCGTCATTTTAGTGTCGCTGCAGACCAGCGACAACAGAGAGCTATTTTCCATCCACTGGTTCATTCCCCCAATTGGCTGCAATGGCCAGAGCTGCACTGGTCTGAAGCCAGCAGCTTCCTTCCGGTCTCCCATGTGGGTGCAGGGGCTTAAGTATTAACACTTTGAGTGTTTTACTATAAAGCCACACATTCCTAGTTTGGGCAAACATCGCCGACCGGCGGTCCACACAGGAGGTGCTAGCTTCCAAGACGCCATGGCACCACACTCTTCCTCCCACAACCCCCCTATTGCTTCTATTCTGTACATTTTAATTGCAAATTTTAATTTACCACCTCTATTTAAGACCTCATCCTGCGGAGGTCCTAGGTATCGAAAACATTTGATCAACAATGGCTCTAAAATGCTGATGGCATACCTTTGGGCAGTAGAGTTAGGGCAAAGTTAGAATACGGGAGCACCAGGAAAGAACACGAATCAGAACTTCCCGAGAGGCACTCTCGCTCTAACGGACTTAGAACAGGAAACAAAACTCCCCAAACCTCAACTGAGAATGTCAAAGTTTGACTCATATGGGAGAGCTTCTGCTTTACTTGTAAATAAAAAACATTAAAGAGTTTTAATGTTAGAAACTTTAATTTTTACATCCCTTTATTCTTCAAACTCAGCTCAAGTTACAAATAAATAGTCCATACCATACAGCCACTTTATGATACACACTTCTTCAGGCAGAAAACTCCAATAATCCAGAACACACTGTGAACAAATTCACAGGAAATCACTACTTCTGAAGTATAGAGACTACATTTGCAATGTGGTCAAGTACATACACTGTTGAAATGTGAATCATGCTCCAGCACATCGCAGATGTACACAGCTCGCTTTGAAAAGAAGGTACCCACAGATTAGATTTTTTTTTTTCCTAAATTGGAGTCAATTGTTCAAAAGTATAGTCACTTAAAGCAAGTAATTTTCTCAAGTTAATTTTTAAACATCATCCCCAGAATTACAAGCTTTAAAAATCATGACTATCAACTGTATTACTTAAGAAAGTAGTATTGAAAAAGTAGATATGACTTTGTGTTGCTCTGTTAGTTAAAAAAAAAAAAATTCATAGCGAGATTTTAGGTAAGACACGCCAGTGACCATGGGTGTGAGGAACGGGAGTTGGCATTATAAACTACCAAAGTTCTGTTTCAGGAAATGTCTCATCTTTACACAGCTCATTTCCAACAGACAGTAATTCTGTAGCATTTACACTCAACTTCTAAGTATGTGTATTATATTTAGCGATTTACTGTGAGAAACTCCTTAAAGTTTTTTTCCCCAAGTAATTTCCTGGGCAAGCCAATATCTCTCGCAATGCTTGGGGATTCTTCTAATTGACCATTTTATTATTTCTCAATTATTCGAAAATAACATTTATTTTCAACTTACCATTTTTCACTAAATGTAGTTTGGCAAGGGAAAAACTGGTTTGAAAAGTGATTGCATTTGTTCAATCTCATGTGCTACTGTGGCATTCCAAATCCAGCACCTGATATCTCAGGACTGAAAAATTACAAACTTTAATCACATGAGAAAACAAATACAACCAGATGTAAATTAAATTAGTTTCATTAGCTATTTCTGAAGACAAATAAGCTTTATTCTGAATTGGTGATAAGCTACATATGCATTTGGCAGTTTGACGTCACGATGATCGGTTCTCTCTTTGGAAGCTGAGAAACAGCCCTTTCCTAAACACCCTGATTTAATTTTCAGATTACAGCATTTTGATGCAAAATCTCATTTATGATCCCTCAATTGTACTTTTTGGCAGTTTTCCCAAACATTATTAAAATTTAAACAGTAACAAAAACAGAAGAATTGAAGATATATCACAAATACTCAACAAAAAAGTTGAAAACAAAACATTGAATGGCAATCTCCTGACCCAGTGTTTGTGAATCCTGGTTCTTCACAACATGCCTGCTGTCTTAGAGGCATGTGTCTCTGCACACACACGCACACACACACAGCTCTGTTGCTGTTGCCAAAGTAGCTAGGGGGAAAAAAAATACCTAATGCTCACTTCGGCAGCACAGAAAACAAAACTAGTCTGGCGTGAAACAATGTGGTTCCTGTATATTCCTGAATCTGATTCGAATATATCTTAATTGGTGTGATATTACAATCTGAAATAATAAACAAGCAATAAAAAATGGAAAGATTTTCTCCCTATATATATATATATGTATATATATATACAGCAATGTCTTAGGAGTCACAAATTCTCCAGTGACAAGGCCAACTGCTCTAAACACAACTCATCATAAATACTCCCATGTCTCTCACTGAGACTATTACCTCGGATGCACTTTGAATCAATCCACCCTCTACAACAGGTGAATTGTGGCAGAGAGGATAATGCACTTTTTATTGAACCACAACCACTGGCCTTCAAATACCAGTACAAACAAACAAACAAAAATTCCAACTGTGAAATGAGACGTATGATTACATATCTAGCATAAAACTAAGAGCTTGGAGTGGAGTAACTTTCTGACTTATGTGTTCATATACAGAGAACGCTCAATGTATACATTGTCAATTACATACACATCTTTTTAAAGAAGTTTCTACCCTTTCAGAATTGCTTCTATTTTAAGTTTGGACCTTCTCCTGGCTTCAACAGCTCAACAGAAGATCCCATTTTGATAATAAACAGCTAGAGACTAACAACCGATGCTACATTTGCTGTGTATGTCCTTCCCATTACACCGTGCCTCTGTCCTGCTCAACCAACCGCACTCTGCTTCTGTTTTTCCAGTAAATATATATATATATAAAGAAGACACTGTCAGGCAAATATTCACAAGCTCTCGATTTCTTAAAACATAAGTGGGGTATATTTATTTTTCGCAAATGCATACAAGACAATAATTACATAGCAACAAATCTTTTGTTCAACAATGATTTGATTCATAAGCATTTGAAATTTACATAATTCACATCAATACCCTTGCATGTTTTAAATATAGTTAGGTAAAAAAAAAACCCAAATAACCAATTCTTATATTTCCTATTTATCCCTCTATACATCCAAACTTTTAAAAAGTTACAAACTGAACATTATACAGAACATATAAATCATGTTTAAAAACTTGAGGTTTTAAAATCACTGTTTCCCCAATAAGATTCAGAAAAATTCATTCTGACAATTATAGTCACAGGTGGTAAACTGGAATAGGGGGAAAACAAACAAGAGACAGACACAAGTTTTCTGTCTTAATATTTTACTAATCCTGTCAGTTAGAAATGGTGATGTGATGAGAAGAACTGTTTCGGTTTAACATGAGGAATGGAGTCGTCTCACGTTTGAGACTTGCACTTCAAGTATTATCCTATTTGATCTGAGATCACTGTAGCAAACCGATATCAAAAGAGAATAACTATTTTCTCCCATACATTCGCTCAATGTCCGCCTGGTAATGGGTTTTAAGTTCCTTGCGTTTCAGTTTGAAGGCGTCTGTCACCAGGCCAGTTTCGGGGGTCCATGGTTCAGGGCTCAAACGAATTTTTACTGGAATTTCAAACTTTTCCAAACTTGCTGAGAAGTTTAAAGAAAAAAAAGTAAAAGGAAAGTAATTAAAAATGTACAATCAAAAGCAAGTAATGCAATATCCTCAATCTCTGAGCACAGATCAAAATGTACAAGCCACAAATGACTCCTGAATCTCAGGTCTAAGACAGCTGACCCTCAAAGGCAGTGTAAGTTAGGAATGGACACTTACCTGGGTTAGTGTAGCAAAAAAATATTTAATAGACTCCTATCAACAGAAGTATGAACTGAATAAATTAGGATATAGGTATAAAAGCAATACGATTGTGTGTAAAAATGGATTTCACTTGTATGTGTAGCCAATATGTTCTTAGGTTAAAAAAAAAAAATTTAAAAAGCCAAGTTGTAGAACAGGCTGGGACAAGGGCACCAGACACCTCTAGAGACCAGGATACAGGACATTTCCACTTGCTTTTCTCTACTTCATTACAAAAGCATGCTGACTTTACATGCTAAAAAATAACAACGCTTGGCGAGATTCCTGTCCTGCACCAGGCTGTCTACAGCCCTGGAGACTTGGTCACTATCGTGGTCCTCACACTGACATAGCAGACTGATGACGCTGGTGGATGGAGAGACGGGAGGGAAAAAGGATAGCATCTGAGGGAGGTGAGGGAGATGCAGTTGTTTTGTTGTTTAAGGTTTAATTTTAATATTCCAAGATGCTAGATGGGGAAGGGACTTGCGCATTTTGCCCAGAGGAAGCACATTTTCAGGGGAGAATCTGAGAGAATCTGTAGTGAAAACACGGTGGACAGCAGAGAGACATGTGAACACAGCAGGCACGCGGCAGCCAGCAGAAACACCAGAGACCACAGGAGTGTGCAGATCGCTGAGCCGGAGGAAGCAGGCTACGGCAGCCAGGGCCGCTGGAGATCAGCTGTGGTGTGGTTCTAGCGCACAGCCCTGTCTGCAGGCCGGGCCTGTTGGAGCAGGCAGGCAGGGCGCTACCAGATCTTGTGGAGGATGACCACATCTCCTTCCCTCAGACTCGACCCGCGTGCCCAGGCCAGGGAGGGGGTGGATGCCATTCCAAAGCCAGGAGAGGGATCTGAGGCTTTGCCCACACCAGCTGTGAAACCCAGTGCCACAGGCAACATTTCCAACACAGAATCTTAGGGTACACAGTGACCTCAGGCTCAGACGGGACCCAGGGCCGGGAACAGGGAGAACTGGAATCATTATGGAGCAAGGGCCTCCTTGTCCTTCTCATCGACCACAGAGGTCAGGTCAGGGAAGGCAGGCAGTGGCTGCAGAACTCGCCAGCATCTGCACATGCCCACGACTAGAAAATGTTCAAAGAGGGGCAGGCAAGCGCTCTCCATGGACTTCAAGTCTGTGCTGGTGGCATGGCAAGGGATGCCTACCCATTCCACAGGAGAAATGACTTCAGTAAACCCGTATGTCCCCAGTGGCAGAGCACCCGCTACTTCAAACATTTGTTAACATACCTCAAGGGAGAGACAGACTCCAGTGCAATAACAGTGGAGGGATTTCAAAACTCCACTATCACTACTGGAAAGATCAACTAGGCAGAAACTCAACCAAAAAACAACACAGAAACTCAACAAAAAAACCCACATAGTTGAGGCTGGTGCAGCAGCGCAGCATGCTAATTCTCTGTCCTGGTGCCAGTTCCTGAACCAGCTAGTCTACTTCCAATCTGGCTCTCTGCTTATATCCTGGGAAAGCTGTAGAGGATGGCCCAACTCCTCAGCACTCTACACCTATGTCGGAGACCCAGAAAAAGCTCCTGGCACCCAGCTTCAAATCAGCTTAGCTGTGGCCATTGCAGCCACTTGGGGAGTGAACCAGCAGATGAACCCTCCTTCTCTGTAAAATCAGCCTTTCAAATAAAAATAAATTTAAAAAGAGAGAAACAATATAGCCAACCTATACAGTGGATCAAATGGACCCGATTGATATCTACAGTACACATAATCCCAAAGATACACAACACACATTCTTTGCATCAGTACACGGAACCCTCTCCAGAATAGACCACTTGACTGGCCATAAAGCAAGCCTCAGCAAATTCAAAAGAATTGAAATCACAGCAAGTATGCTTTCTGATCATCACAGAATGAAAGTGCAAACTCAAAAACCCAAGAAAATATGCAAAAACATAACATGTTTATGAATGAACAGTGGGTCACAGAAATCAAACAGGAAATCAAGACTTCTGGAAATGATGATCACAACACAACCTATGAAAACGCATGGGACACGCAGGAGTGCAAGGGGGCAGTTAACAGCAAGTAGTACCTGCATCAGGAGATTAGAAAGGCATTAAATAAACTCTGCATGTATCTCCAAGGAACTACAAAAGCAGCAAACCAAATCCAAAATCAGCAGAAAGCAATAATTAAAATTAGAGAATAAAATTCAAAACATAAAACCAATGAATCAAAGAGTTGGTTTTTTGAAAAAATTAACAATACTGATACACACTATTCCCAACTAACAAAAACAAAACAAGGAGGGAGAAGACCCAAATCACTAAACTCAGAATGAAAAAGGAAACAGAACGTCGGACACCACAGATACACAAAACTTCATCAAGAACCACTGCACGTAGCTATATGCCAAAAAACTGCAAAATCTACAGGAAATGGATAGATTTCTGGGCACGTATTACCTACTGAAATTGAGTCACGAGGACATCAAAAACCTAAATACACCAATCGACAGACCAAAGATTAAATCCGTGATAAAGATTCTCTCAACAAAGTTCAGGACTAAATGTCTTCATTGCCAAATTCAACCAAACCTTTCAAGAACTAATTCTAATCCTTCAAGGTTTATTCAAAACAACAGAAAAGCAGGCAACTATGAGGCCAATATGACCTGAATTCCCAAACCAGAAAAACTTACAACAGAAAAAGAGAACTGCAGATCAATATCCCTGATGGATATAAACGCAAAAATCCTCAACAAAATAGTAGCTAATTGAATCCAACAACACATGAGAAAATGAACTCAGAACATGTGCTGTGCAGGGATGGCTTAGCACACACGAATCAATACATGTGTGATCTACCATACTCACAAGGTCAAGAGTAAATACCCTGTGATTGGCTCAACTGATGCAGGGAAAACATCTGATAAAACACAGCATCCTTTCATGCTAAAAAAAATTTAAGCAAACTGTGCACAGAAGCAACATTACTCTTCACAGTGAAGGTAAGACAGGAAAAACCCAACGCCAGACTCAAACTGCCCAGGGAACCTGCAGCCCTTTTCTCTAAAGTCTGGAATCAGAGAAGGATGCCAATCTCACGGCTGCTATTCAACAGTCCTGCAGGTTAGACCCGGAGCTGTAAGGGAAGAAAAAGAAATCAAAGGGAAATCATTTGGAAAGGAGGAAGCCATGCTACCTTGTGCACAAATCAAAGACTTCACTGAAAGACTATTGGAACTCATGATAGCCTGGCAAGGATGCAGGAAATAAAATCAATACACAAAAATCAGTGGCCTGTATATAAATAATTTCATAGCTGAGAGAGAGTTTGCCAAGACCAGTCCCTTTCACAGCAGCAGCAACTTAAAAAAAAAAAAATTCAATACCTTAGGTAATGTAGCCAGGGACATAAGCTCTACGATGAAGATCCCAAACATGTCAAAATATGCCACGTTCACGGACAGGTAAAATCAGCACCTCGGGCCCAGCGCAGTGGCGCAGTGGTTAAGGTCCTCGCCTTGCACGCCCGGGATCCCATATGGGCGCCGGTTCTAATCCCAGCAGCCCCGCTTCCCTTCCAGCTCCCTGCCCGTGGCCCGGGAAAGCAGCGGAGAACGGCCCAAAGCTTTGGGACCCTGCACCCGCGTGGGAGACCCGGAAGAGGCTCCTGGCTTCGGATCAGCATAGCATTGACCATTGCGCTCACTTGGGGAGTGAATCATCGGATGGAAGATCTTCCTCTCTGTCTCTCCTGCTCTCTGTATATCTGACTTTCCAATAAAGAAATAAATCTAAAAAAAAAATCAGCACCTCAAAATGTCCAGAATGCCGAAGCAATCTACAGATTTAAGAGAATTCTAATCAAAATACATGTGACATTCTCAGATATGTAAATAAAGAGGCTAAAATTCATATGGAAGTATAAGAGACTTCAAATTGTTAAAGCAATCTTAAACAACAAAGACAAAGCCAGAGGTGTTACAATACCAGACACCAAATGGGATTATTTTTTTAAAGATTTAAAGATTTATTTCTTTATTGGAACGGGTATTTTTCTAGATGAAATGAAAATGGCTAACAGGGGTCTGGCGCCATGGCCTCGCGGCTAAAGTCCTCACCAAGAGTGCGCCGGGATCCCATATGGGTGCCGGTTCTAATCTCAGCAGCCCCACTTCCCTTCCAGCTCCCTGCTTGTGGCCTGGGAAAGCAGTCGAGGACGGCCCAAAGCTTTGGGAACCTGCACCTGCATGGGAGATCTGGAGGAACTTCCTGGCTCCTGGCTTTGGATCGGCATAGCACTGGCCTTAGCAGTAACTTGGGGAGTGAATCATCAGTTGGAAGATCTTTCTGTCTGTCTCTCCTCCTCTCTGTATATCTGACTTTCCAATAAAAACAAATAAATCTTTAAAAAAAAAAAGAGAGAGAGAAAAGAAAATGGCTAGCAAACATAGGAAAAAATGCCTAGGGTTTGTGGCTCCACCTAAATCTGGGGAGAATCACTATCACATAGAAATTAAAAGAAATGAACAGGGCCCAGTGCGATAGCATAGTGGTTAAAGTTCTCGCCTTACACTGGCTGGGATCCCATATGGGCACCAGTTTTTTTTTTGTTGTTTTTTTTTTTAAAGATTTATTTTATTTTTATTGGAAAAGCAGATATACAGAGAGGAGAGACAGAGAGGAAGACCTTCCGTCCGATGATCCGCTCCCCAAGTGAGCGCAACGGCCGATGCTATGCCGATCCCAAGCCAGGAGCCTCTTCCGGGTCTCCCATGCGGGTGCAGGTTCCCAAAGCTTTGGGCCGTCC